TTTATAAACAATATACACAGGGACTCCTCTACTAACGAATAAGTAAGGTTCCAGAGGTCTGCAAGTCGATTCGTTAGCACGTCCAACTTTACTTCTGTCGATTCCAAACACATACGGCATGTACACTAAACACGGGGACTGGCTTTAAAAGTTGTACAATCTCCTGTAAATGTATATGGCACTGGTTCTTCACGTTCTGCAGATGTAGATGCCACTGGTTCTTCACGTGCTGTAGATATAGATGCCACTGGTTCTTCACGTTCTGTAGATATAGATGCCACTGGTTCTTCATGTTCTGCAGATATAGATGCCACTGGTTCTTCACGTTCTGCAGATGTAGATGCTACTGGTTCTCCACGTTCTACAGATATAGATGCCACTGGTTCTTCACTTTCTACAGATGTAGATGCTACTGGTTCTTCACGTTCTACAGATATAGATGCCACTGATTCTTCACGTTCTGAAGATGTAAATGTCACTGGTTCTTCACGTTCTGCAGATGTAGATGCGACTGATTCTTCACGTTCAGCAGATGTAGATGCCACTGGTTCTTCACGTTCTGCAGATGTAGATGCCACTGGTTCTTCACGTTCTATAGATGTAGATCCCACTGGTTCTTCACGTTCTACAGATGTAGATGCCACTGGTTCTTCATGTTCTGCAGATGTAGATGTCACTGGTTTTTCACGTTCTGCAGATATAGATGCCACTGGTTCTTCACGTTATATAGATTTAGATGCTACTGGTTCTTCACGTTCTACAGATATAGATGCCACTGGTTCTTCATGTTCTATAGATGTAGATGCCACTGGTTCTTTACGTTCTGCAGATGTAGATGCCACTGGTTCTTCACATTCTACAGATGTAGATGCTACTGGTTCTTCACGTTCTACAGATGTAGATGCCACTGGTTCTTCATGTTCTGCAGATGTAGATGTCACTGGTTTTTCACGTTCTGCAGATATAGATGCCACTGGTTCTTCACGTTATATAGATTTAGATGCTACTGGTTCTTCACGTTCTACAGATATAGATGCCACTGGTTCTTCATGTTCTATAGATGTAGATGCCACTGGTTCTTTACGTTCTGCAGATGTAGATGCCACTGGTTCTTCACATTCTACAGATGTAGATGCCACTGGTTCTTCACGTTCTGTAGATGGAGATACCACTGGTTCTTCATGTTTTGCAGATGTAGATGCCACTGGTTCTTCATGTTCTGCAGATGTAATGCCACTGGTTCTTCATGTTCTGCAGATGTAAATTCCACTGGTTCTTCACGTTCTACAGATATAGATGCCACTGGTTATTTACGGTCTGCAGATGTAGATGCCACTGGTTCTTCACGTCTACAGATGTAGATGCCACTGGTTCTTAATGTTCTGTAGATGTAGATGCCACTGGTTCTTAATGTTGTGGAGATGTAGATGCCACTGGTTCTTCACGTTCTGCAGATGTAGACGCCACTGGTTCTTCATGTTCTGGAGATGTGGATACCACTGGTTCTTCACGTTCTGCAGATGTAGACGCCACTGGTTCATCATGTTCTGGAGATGTGGATGCCACTGGTTCTTCATGTTCTACAGATATTGATGCCACTGGTTCTTCATGTTCTGGAGATGTAGATGGCACTGGTTCTTCACGTTCTACAGATATTGATGCCACTGGTTCTTCACGTTCTAGAGATATAGATGCCACTGGTTCTTCATGTTCTGCAGATGTAGATGCCACTGGTTCTTCATGTTCTGGAGATGTAGATGCTACTGGTTCTTCATGTTCTGGAGATGTAGATGCCACGGGTTCTTCACGTTCTACAGATATAGATACCACTGGTTCTTCACGTTCTGCAGATGTAGATGCCACTGGTTCTTTAAGTTCTATAGATATAGATGCCACTGGTTCTTCACATTCTATAGATGTAGATGCTACTGGTTCTTCACGTTCTACAGATATAGATGCCACTGGTTGTTCACGTTCTAGAGATGTAGATGCCACTGGTTCTTTACGTTCTGCAGATGTAGATGCCACTGGTTCTTTACGTTCTGCAGATGTAGATGCCACTGGTTCTTCACATTCTACAGATGTAGATGCTACTGGTTCTTCACGTTCTGTAGATGGAGATACCACTGGTTCTTCATGTTTTGCAGATGTAGATGCCACTGGTTCTTCATGTTCTGCAGATGTAATGCCACTGGTTCTTATGTTCTGCAGATGTAAATTCCACTGGTTCTTCACGTTCTACAGATATAGATGCCACTGGTTATTTACGGTCTGCAGATGTAGATGCCACTGGTTCTTCACGTCTACAGATGTAGATGCCACTGGTTCTTAATGTTCTGTAGATGTAGATGCCACTGGTTCTTAATGTTGTGGAGATGTAGATGCCACTGGTTCTTCACGTTCTGCAGATGTAGACGCCACTGGTTCTTCATGTTCTGGAGATGTGGATACCACTGGTTCTTCACGTTCTGCAGATGTAGACGCCACTGGTTCATCATGTTCTGGAGATGTGGATGCCACTGGTTCTTCATGTTCTACAGATATTGATGCCACTGGTTCTTCATGTTCTGGAGATGTAGATGGCACTGGTTCTTCACGTTCTACAGATATTGATGCCACTGGTTCTTCACGTTCTAGAGATATAGATGCCACTGGTTCTTCATGTTCTGCAGATGTAGATGCCACTGGTTCTTCATGTTCTGGAGATGTAGATGCTACTGGTTCTTCATGTTCTGGAGATGTAGATGCCACGGGTTCTTCACGTTCTACAGATATAGATACCACTGGTTCTTCACGTTCTGCAGATGTAGATGCCACTGGTTCTTTAAGTTCTATAGATATAGATGCCACTGGTTCTTCACATTCTATAGATGTAGATGCTACTGGTTCTTCACGTTCTACAGATATAGATGCCACTGGTTCTTCACGTTCTAGAGATGTAGATGCCACTGGTTCTTTACGTTCTGCAGATGTAGATGCCACTGGTTCTTCACATTTTACAGATGTAGATGCCACTGGTTCTTCACGTTCTGTAGATGGAGATACCACTGGTTCTTCATGTTTTGCAGATGTAGATACCACTGGTTCTTCATGTTCTGCAGATGTAAGGCCAATGGTTCTTCATGTTCTGCAGATGTAAATGCCACTGGTTCTTCACGTTCTACAGATATAGATGCCACTGGTTCTTCACATCTACAGATGTAGATGCCACTGGTTCTTAATGTTCTGTAGATGTAGATGCCACTGGTTCTTAATGTTGTGGAGATGTAGATGCCACTGGTTCTTCATGTTCTGCAAATGTAGACGCCACTGGTTCTTCATGTTCTGTGGATGTGGATGCCACTGGTTCTTCACGTTCTGCAGATGTAGACGCCAATGGTTCTTCATGTTCTGGAGATGTGGATGCCACTGGTTCTTAATGTTCTACAGATATTGATGCCACTGGTTTTTCATGTTCTGGAGATGTAGATGCCACTGGTTCTTCACGTTCTACAGATATTGATGCCACTGTTTCTTCACGTTCTAGAGATATAGATGCCACTGGTTCTTCGCGTTCTGCAGATGTAGATGCCACTGGTTCTTCATGTTCTACAGATGTAGATGCCACTGGTTCTTCATGTTCTACAGACATAGATGCCACTGGTTCTTCACGTTCTGCAGATGTAGATGCCACTGGTTCTTCACGTTCTACAGATATAGATGCCACTGGTTCTTCACGTTCTGCAGATGTAGATGCCACCACCACCATCTATTGTACGGCAGTTGAACTTACGACTCTCGGTCCAAGCAGGCAACTGGACATATGGACAGCTTTGTTCCTATCTCTGAAACTTCGTAAGTCGAATGTTTATAAGTAGAGGAGTCCCTATAACTCAATTACTGTATTTGTACATTTTGTATAATAATAATAAACTCAATACTTATGCAGAGTAAACATCGATTGAACTCAACCGTTGATCAATTGTTTGGTGAAGCATCCAAGGTTGAAATGTTACCGCGTGAGTTTTCCTCCCGCGCCCTGTGCTCTGTGTCGCTCTCTCTGGTGTGACTTCGCGTCGTTGTTCTTCTTGTCGTGACCACGTTTCGTTCGGCTCACGCGATGTCCGACATTTCGCACCACTAGCTGGGGAGGGGGGTGGGCTTCTTCAGGGAAACAGGTTTCCCCAAGTCCACTTATTCTACCTTAACATTTAATTAGATTAAATCGCTAAATGTCCATTATCCAAGCTTCAAAGGAAATATCAGTCTTGGAAAGTGCCTGTTAACGTTTGGCAGGATGCACATTCCTATCTCTCTCTCTCTGCCAGTTATTGCCTGGAGGCAGTTTTGACCAACAGCCCAACCGCCCCCCCCCCCCCCCATCATTGGTGACGACTTAAAACGGGTGGCAGCTGCTGTGGGCGTTCTTCACAAGTCTAGAAGCGACATCGCCACACACACACACACACGCACGTGTTGAGATGTCCCTCTTGATAAACTCCCACGCGCAGCTCAACCTCCGGTCAGGTGCGGGGGACTTGATTGAGCGCGCAATGTAGTGTAGCGGGCACAACCATTATTGCCTGCAGCAGGCTCCTGAAAGCCTCTGTAACTTCTTCTGGAAGGAGCTCCCAGGACGTGGAGCGAAACGTCAGACGTCGCGCCGTACAACACGCGGCACGACCGGCGAAGCGCACCGGAGAAGCGTCCATCTTCACATCCCTCCCACGAGCGGAAGCCGATGGCACGGTCTGCAAGGATCGCGAAACTGTTGTCCCGCAACCCTGCCCGAGTGAAATTACTCCTACGGACAGCTCTCCACGTAAACGTAATATAATCTCAACTGTTTTTTTTTTTTACCAGGTAAAGGTTTGGCCCGCAAATGATAGCCCAACGAAGTGGCTTATCATCATCGCGTGGACATTTATAAGCAGCCAAATACTCTAAAGCGCGTGTTGTTGATTCTTCAATGTGGAGGGGAAAACCGGAGGACCCGGAGAAAAATCCACGCGACCACGGGGAGAGAGAGAGAGAGAGACATGTAAACACCAAATATACAACAGGCGTTCAGGGTCAGCATCGAGCCCACGACCCCCTGCATACCAGGCGAGGTAGTTAACATCTCGCCACCGTGGCGCTCACAGTATTACTGGGCTGCCAAGAACACGCCTCCTGAGAAGTGGCCAGGTAGACCACAGGTGGCTCACAGGTGGCTCACAGGTCAAAGCACTGGTGCAGCCACTGCCGGGATCCTGGGTTCGAATCTGTGTCGAGGCCGTGCACGACTAAACCGCGTTGTCAAGCGTAGGAAGTTGATGGCCCTGTTACCCCACGGACGTCACGGTTACATTTGGATTCGCTTCTTTGGTCGTGGATAAATGACAACTCTGAGAATGTCAGCTTTGGCCCCCGCCCTCCCCCCCTACAAAGTGTAGATAAGAAGTGACTTGAGATTTTCGGAAGTAGTTCTGGGAATGTCCCCTTCCTCACACCGTACACTCTGGCACGGGGGGGGGTGGTGGTGAATATGCGGAATAGCCGGTGCAGAAATGTAATTTGCACGTGAGGTTTGTAAAGAGGCCAACCTGAGATTTTTGCGTGTAAATACATTTTCACGGTTTGGGAAATAACTAACTTGTAAATGAAAAAGGGGTAAAATCAAAATAGTTTTTTGTTAACAACATTCTGACCGGCTATTTTATTCCAGATATTTGTTTTTGCATTAACGCCAAGAAGTGCGATTAATTTTTGGCCGAAATGGCCATATCGCTGCCGTGGGAATTATTACCTGATGTGCGCTGGCAATCACAGGACCACGAGAAGTGAAGACAGGTATGGGGGTAGGCCTTCATACAGCAGTGGATAGACCACTGCTAATGACAATGGCGATCTAGCAGAGACACGAGGTCATGCAATAGAGTTTGTTTCAATTGTCCTCGGGAATAACTTCTCTCCACTTCACCGATTTATAGAAAGTAAAAGGCGAAAGCGCAGCTCCTAACAATGTCTTGACAATATCACTGCTGGTAGAAAGACCTCCACTCGACCGTGCTCTTAGAGTAACCCCTCTAGTTTGTATTTGGCCTACTCTTCCACGCTGGCCATACGCCTTGGACATCGGTGGGAGTAGCCACACGTTACCCCCGCCATCGACTTAAATGTGGTATGCCCGGTGATCCCGCCTGGGTGGACGGACGCGGTGCGGTGGATTTCAGAAACGTGCCCCATCATTCAACGATACGTGACGGCTGAAATCCCCCGCAGCAGGTAAGGGCAAATCACTTATCACGCGCGAGCGTACACACACACGCGCAGCCTACGCGGAAATCCACATCATGAACAGGTGCGATCCTTGGTGGTGGAAGATGTTGTTTATCCGGCCGCGGCTGCAGTCGAGCGTGAAGAAGAGCGTGGCGTCGGCCTCCACCGACAGGCTTCCCCGCAGGCTGATGGTGCTCCACTGGCTGCCCTCCATCACTCGCCCGCCGACCTGCTGCAGAAGGGGCGCGACGGGGCCCCGGCCTTGCAGCTGCAACGGCGGCTCGCTCTGCAGCCCGCGCAGCGACAGGCGCACCGTCTCGCACGAGTGGATCAGCCGCAGGTGGAACGAGACGCTCACCACGCCGGCCGCCGCCAGCCGGAAACGCTGGCCCGAGTGGCGCCCCTCCGTCTCGAGCAGCACCTGGCCCCCGTCGGGCGCCGCCACGGTCCGGAAGCGCAGGGCCTTGTTCCGCACGGCGCCGGTGCCCACGCCGGACTTGTCGAGGGCGGCCGAGAGGACGGCGGCGGCGGAGCGCGGCACCCACAGGAGGCTGGCGACGCTCACCCCCGACGCGTCGCCGAAGAGGCGCACGCTGCAGTGCTGCGACGTCGCCACGTCGAAGCTCAGCTGGTCGCCCGCTCGCACCTCCACGGCGCCGGCGGCCGACACGGCCGTGTCGCGGTAGGTGACGCCGGGGAAGTAGACGCGCGTCACCTCCTCGCTCTCGCCGGCGCTGCCGTTGCGGCTCACGTGAACGCCGAGCGAGTAGCCGTCGCGGATGCAGCCGTGGCCGACGGAGTAGAGCGCCTGCCGGTAGGCGAACTTGACGACGCCGGCCTCCGAGAAGATGAACGTCGCGCAGTCGTGGTTCGCCGTGATCACGTAGGGGTCCGACACCTGCGACACCTTAAAGGAGGGGCGGTAGTTGGAGTTGTAGTGAGCCGCCGTGTTGGTGTGCGCGTGCAGGGACACCGCCCCGGTGTCGTGCGACAGCCACAGGAAGCTGAGCGAGCCCGGCAGGAGGTCCGGGTGAGCGTACTCTCCGCCGCTGCGCTCGCAAGGCTGCCCGGGGCTTCTCAGGTAAACCGAGAACTGGTGGCCGGGCTCCAGCTCGGCCGTGGAGCTCAGGGACGCGCTCCGCCGGAAGCGCTTGTCGTCCTCCGTCGGCTCGATCCTGGCCGCCACGAGCTCGTCGCGGTGCCCGCCGCTGCGGTTCAGCCTCAGCGACACCTGCAGGAAGCCGCGGCAGCTGTGTTTGGCCGCGACGTTGAGGTCGGCCCACACCAGGCCGTGCTGCCCGAACGCGACGGATCGCCCGCCGACCACCTGGATTTGGGCGAAGCCGAGCAGCGACTCCGTCTCCCGGGTGGGCGCGACGCGCAGCGCGATCCCTTCGCCGCCCGGCATCAGCTCCGAGAGGTTGGCGGCCCTGTCGCGGGGCGGCGGCGGCAGCTCCACGGAGCCGACCCACGCAGCCGCCAGTTTGCCGGGGCCCGGCAGGCAGGAGGTGTCGGCGTCGGTCGTGCAGGGGCTCAGCATCAGCCCGTCGGGGCAGCCGGAGCACGCCTGGCACTCGCCCGTCTCGTAGCCCAGGTAGTAGCCGTCGGCGCAGAGCGACGACTCGTCGTCGTCGTCGTCGTGAGAGACGATGATGCCCACGCAGCGGTACCCTCCTGCCAAGGGTTGGGGGGGGTCACAAAAAACAAAAGAAAAAAGATCGCCCGTGTAGCCTTTACAGACTAGGGGCAAGTGCTGTAAGCGAGCACCTATGGAGGCCGGCACGGCACACGAGGGGGTGGGTGGCCAACAACCACGATGTTTACACACCGCACCGGGTACTCATTTGAGGCTGAGTCGACCTAGGGGAAGCCCAGGACTGGTTCAGATAATCGTCACCGGTGTTGGCCGTGAGCGGTTATCGAACCTGGGACGCCAGGTTCGTAGTGCAGCGTAGCGCTAACAGCTGCATCACGGGTCAGAGAGTGAAGGCACGGTGGGGGGGGGGGGGGGCGGGACGGCGTATGCCAGTTTGCTGCGTGCGTTGCTCATCCGCCGACCCCACTCTTCGTTGGGCAGTCCTCGAAGACGTTCGGTCGCCGTTGGCCATAGAAGAGGGAGCCGCGGTGGCGGTGCAACGGTCGGCGCGCTGGACGTGGAGACCGAAAGGTCGCAGGTTCGGCCTCCCGGTGAGGCAGGCGAAACAACGGTGCAAGGTCTCTCGTCACCCCATCCCCACCGCCTGTCCAGCAGTCGATCGTCACGTCGCATGTGGTGGGGTAAAGTGCGGGTAAGACTCTGACATGAGACTAATCGCACCTCCGACTAGCACGGTTGGCTACGTACGGTGCGAAAGAAGATCAAAGTACATACCGCAATTTCCACTGACGCGATTCGAATTAACATATTTGACAAAATAACGCCTCTCCATATATGTCCGTCCACATGAAATACAAAAGTGCGTGTCCGCGCAGCCAGTAGGCTGCGCCACCTTTGGGAGTGCATCTTATCGGCAGCGATTGGACCGGTTTTTGACATTTGTTGTCTCATCAGAGAAGTCCGTTTATTCAAGCAAATTCCTTCTGGTGAACCGCCCCCGCAACAATGACCCTGCGTGTCTGAAATAGGTCTGAGTTTGGCGCGAAAGTAAATACGTAATACACAACACACGATAGTCATTAAAGGTTTTTTTTTTTACGTGTGGAGAGACAAATATGGGAAACAGATGTTGTGTGTGCATTTACATTCTCCTCAACCACGCATTGTTATAATTTAGTGTTTTATAATAATGTGTGTTCATTATTGTCCCAGTGACTATCCTAACGTTAAGTGAAATGAACGACCTCCCGTATACCAGCGAGATAGTTAACATCTCGCCACGGCGGTGCACAAAATGGCTTAGCCCGACGGGGGAGCCCGTCCACGTACAAGGACTACCTCTACCTACGAACGAGTTCGGTTCCAGAGGTACTGTTCATAAGTAGATTTGTTCGTAAGTCCAACTTTACTCCCGTCGATTCCAAACACGTTGTAAGGCATGTAGATGCCACTGGTTCTTCACGTTGTGCAGATGTAGATACCGCTGGTTCTTCACGTTCTGCAGATGTAGATGCTGCTGGTTCTTCACGTTCTGCAGATGTAGATGTCGCTGGTTCTTCACGTTCTGCACATGTAGATGCCACTGGTTCTTCACATTCTGCAGATGTAGATGCCACTGGTTCTTCACGTTCTCAGATGTAGATGCCACTGGTTCTTCACGTTCTACAGATGTAGATGCCACTGGTTCTTCACGTCTACAGATGTAGATGCCACTGGTTCTTCACGTTCTACAGATGTAGATGCCACTGGTTCTTCACGTTCTACAGATGTAGATGCCACTGGTTCTTCACGTTCTGTACATGTAGATGCCACTGGGTTTTCACGTTCTGCAGATTCAGATGCCACTGGTTCTTCACGTTCTGCAGATGTAGATACCACTGGTTCTTCACGTTCTGCAGATGTAGATGCCACTGGTTCTTCATATTCTGCAGATGTAGATGCCACTGGCTCTTCAAGTTCTGCAGAAGTAGATGCCACTGTTGTTTTTACATTCTGTAGATGTAGATGCCACTGGTTCTTCACGTTCTGTAGATGTAGATGCCACTGGTTCTTCACGTTCTGCAGATGCAGATGCCACCGCCGCCATGTATTGCGCGGCGGTTGAACTTACGACTCTCGGTCCGAACGGGCAACTGGACATACGGACAGCTTTGTTCGTATCTCTAAAAGTTCGTAAGTCGAATGTTCGTAGCTAGAGGAGTCCCTGTACACCGAGCGCAGACCGCCACTAGCCCTGACACGGACCGGGCCTCTGATGATAGGGACTCTCCTCCTCTCGAGGAAGATGAATGTGAGATGTAGGAAAGAACCCTGGGTGTAGTGGAATGTTCCGAGGGTGGGTGGGGGGGTCTAGAACTTTGCCCGTCCAGTCCCTGGATCCTTTATACCCCAAACCCGAGCCGACCCCAAACCTTACGGTCACAAATTTGGGGTCGCGGTTCTAGCATAAACGGCGTCTCGGTCTTACCGTCTCATTTGTATTGTCCCCCCCCCCCGCCCCCACCTCTACTCTATCACCTGTAACGGAATCACACGGAGAAACAGGAAGAGTTCAAACGTTTCACGAGAGAGCACGGACATGAGGGCAGGGGACGCCGTCGTCGAGACCGGCGAAGGAAAATTGCAGCGCGAGAGCGAGCGAACGAGCGAGATGGATGACCGCCACAAGGACTGGGGGAGACGTTCATCCAGCAGTGGATAGACAATGGCTGCCGATGATATGGTGGTGGGATACAGACCTGGCGTGTTCAGGCATTTCCCAGCGCAAAATGTTGGGTTCTCGGTGCATTCATCCTTGTCCTGTGAGCAAGGGAGAAAGAAAAGAAACATTGGCATCCTCGGAGAAGTCCGCTCTGGCCTCGCGTGTGCAAAAGGACCCCGTGCTTAAATTGAACTTCCTGGCCCTTCCAGGGAGGCAAATACATGAGTACATCGTGAATAAATATCCATTGTTGCCGAATGTTCAATGTTACGGCAAAAAACGCACAATTATGGTAGCCAAATGGGAAGAGCGCGCGCTCCCCCAAACACCGGGACGAATGGGCCAATAAATTGTCGAAAAATTGCCACTCTCGAGCGTCTAAGTTGTAAAACTACGGGTCAAGGGAAGAGGCGTACCACCAAACGTGCAACCCCCTTCACGACCTCTCTTCCAGTGGGCATTGATTCTTAAGAGCATTCATGGGGGGCATTTAGGCATTCCTCCGCCCTGTTTTTCTCTTCTCCTCCAGGGTTATCGGAGCTTAGGAAGGCACCAGGGAGTTGTCGAGTTTATTGAAACGGTTTATAGAACGTGCTGTTTAAGGCAGGTTTCCATTGCACCGTAAATCCGTCATGTTTGGTTAGTGCCAGAGTCAACTCCACCCTTCCAAATCCTCTGTGTGCGTGTACCGGAATCGTCTTGTTAATTAAAAAACTTTTGGACAAAAAATAAAATTTGTTTTGAACTTCCTTGACCTCCAGATGAGTTGTTTTTTTTTAAATGGGGACAGCAACAAGTGCAACATTTGCCCGCGGCAACAAATCGCGTTGACGCCGCACGGAGTTGCCGTCCTGCGGAAAGTTATACGGTGGCAACTTTTAAACCGACCGCTCTTCCTGCTCCTACCGCCAGCCTCTGCCAAAGAAACCCTCGTCACGAACGCAACCCTCGAACCCCGCGACCACCGGCTGCCAGGCCGCATGCCTACGACCCTCGAGGACGCTTTTCCCGCAACAGGGAACACACCTTCTGAGTAAACAGAAGGAACGAGGTGAGCGAAATACAGTGCTACCCAAACAGCGAGCCGCCGCAATTGGCAATTGATCGCCAGTTTCCACTCGCAAGTCATCGCCCTACCCCCGCCCCCCCCTCCGTATTCCATTCGTTCCTCAGCACCCGTAGCTTAGCTTCGCGGTTTCGTCCGAGAAACATTTTCCCGCAACGTGCCTCAGCCTCCTCCTCCTCCATCCTCGCACTCCGCGCTTTCCCAAAACATCATCGGCTTGCCCGGTTCTTACCCCCCCCCACCACCACCAAGCCTACCCAGACTCCCCTCCCCCCCCCTGCCAGATTCCAAATTGAAACCGCTCTCCCGCACGCGACGAAATCCCACAACCGCACGACCTGCTGCGACGCAGAGGTCGCTGGTTAGTTTCTTGACGTTGTTCATTTCTGCAACGCTGCCGATCGCCGCCCCACCTGGCAAATGCGGTCGGTGCTGCGGTGGCACGTCTGCAGCTCGGAGAAGCCCGGCTGGCACGACGAGCAACGGCGGCACTCGGGCGGCATCCGCTGGAAGTCGCAGAACTCCCCGGCGGCGCAGGGGGCGCAGTCCGAGGGACGCTCGCCGCCGTCCGCCTCGTAGCCGCGCCCGGCGTGCTGCGTCACCGCCCGCGGGCCCGAGATCGCCGGCAGGCCCGGCATCCCCGGCGGGATCCTCAGGAGGCCCGTCGCGTCCTCCGTTCCCGCGAGCGCCGGGTGGTGGTGGTGGTGGTGGTGGCGGTGGTGCTGGGGTCGACCGGCGGAGAGCGGTGGGTCGATGGCCGGCTCCGGCTGCGGAGGCGTTCCCGGGTTGTCCTCCCAGCGCTGTCGGGTTGTTTTGACGCGAGGAGATGCCGGGAGGTGAAACACGAGGTCCGCCCGGGTTAGGCCGACGACTTGTGGGGCGACGGCGCCGACCTCGCAAACCGTCGTCGCGCGAGCTCCGGCCGCCAGCCCTCGCGGCGGCCGGAGCAGGCGGCGCCTTTTGGCTCGGCCGTCGAACAAAGACGCCGCCCGTGTCGCTCGTGCCGCACACGCACAATGCGGTTGCCGCAAGTGAACCACAACACGTGGCTGATCGCTCGTTAAGGAGCACAGACCATCGGGCGAACTCCGCTCCATCCTCGCGGCCACTTTTTGGCGAACCATCGAACAAAGATGGTGGGGGCACCGCATCGCGCGCTTTCAGATGCGCTTCTGCGGCCGTCTGGATCGCTCTTCCTTCCCATTGTTAGGAAGCCACTGGGAGCTGTGAACTTTCAAATTGTCATCTAGATTGAAAGTAATTTCTTTAGAACTGATTTTGTGGTTAGTTTGTTGGCCATCCCACTGCACCTCCGATTAGCGCGGTTGGCTACGTGCAGTGCAAAAGAAGTTCAACATACGTACTAATGCATATGCACGTGTCAATGCAGACCGTGTGCACGGGCTAGCGGTGGAGGGACAGAACCGTACTCCGGTGTCCTGGACGTGAATCACAATAAACAGACGTTCGCTCCGCAGTTCCCAATGTCTAACAACAACAAACAACACTCCGACGGAGCCCCGGACATCATGCGTCGTCGGGAGTTTAAAGCGAGTTTCAAGTGGCCATGTCTGGGCCCCACCCCGAACTCGGAACATTCAACGCCGTGTCGATTTTGCGCCACTCCCCACCTTCGTGCCGTGCCGATGCTGGGTCCTCAGATCACTCTCTTGCCGCATCAGCCCTTCCAGGTTCGCGAATTGAGCGGCGAGGTGGCGCTGAGCGTCCAGCACCTGCGAGCGATTCATGACAAAAGCGAACTTTGTCCTCAACTCCCCAACGCAGAAGAATAAGCTTCCGGAGATCTATTAAATCTTCCTGTAAACAACAGCAGAATGAACAATGACGGTCTTGGGAGCAATGGAATTCCAGGTGTTTGGGGCATTTACAGACACACATGCCCAATGTGTCTACGCTGGGCCTCTGCACGAGCCTATGGGTCACTCTGTGAGTCGATGATTCTCTGTGCGAGTCTATTGGTCTCTGCGTTAGTCTGTGGGTCTCTATGCAAGTCTGTGGGTTTCTACAGGAGTCTGTGGTTCTCTGCGTGAGTCTGAGTCTCTGCGTGAGTCTCTATGTGGATCCACTTTAAGCGATGGAATCCCGGGTTTTTAGACCATTAACAGAGAATGAGAGTGAACCGTGTGAGCTATTTGTCCTTGCTGCAATGCACTTTTGGTGTTGTTGGGCTTTTTTTCATGACAACTCAACGCAAGGGGTGGGGGGGGGGGGGTCGGAGGTGGAACAGAAACCCCACGGACAACATCCAAGGCTCGGTGCATCAGGAGTTTAAAGAAAGGGGGCAGGGGGGATTGGGCTCTCTGCACCACCCAAGAGGGAGACCGCGAGCCTGGAAGTTTATACGGGGAGGGAAGGATGGAGGGGGGGGGGAGGTGACGAACATCAATGGACAAAGGCGGAAGGGGTAGGGGGGAGAGGGAGAGAAGGGAGGGCGGGGGGGGGGGGTGCGGCTTCTTAACCCTTCCCCGCTCCTCCGAGACGCCTGCCAAGTGGCATGGTTTCGGTGTCCCGTTCACCGCCGAGTCTCGGAACGCCGCGAGCGGCTCGGCGTTAACTTTACTGAGGGAGGCGCAGCGGCACCGTCGTCTTTATGAAGACGACGCCGTTACTCACCGCGGAGAAGCGTGGTGACACGGCCGCCGCCACTCTACGATAGCGGGAGCCGAGCCGTGCCACACGGAACCTCCCGCATGGCATTGTGGGAGCCTCGGAAAACGACGAAGTTATTTTACTTCGCTTTTTTTGTTCTTTCCGGTTCCGTTCCAATGACCCGTACACCTACGTGCACGTCATCGGGACGGAATCGGAAGTAAAAAGTAAGAAAAAAAAACCCGGCGACGTTCACGCGTAGCGTCCATCGGAATCGGGAAAGGGGTTAAACATTTCCAGGGTCATCGGTCCCGAACGTCCAGCCGCAGGCAGGGGTAAAGGCGGTGCCAAGCGAGCGGGCGCCGTCACCTGCTGCTGCTGCTGCAGGAGGCGCATCTGCTGCTCGTTGAGGCCGTGCGTGATCTTGGCGGCCGCCTCCACCTGCGTCTGCACCAGCGCGAGCAGCTGCTCCTGCCCGTGCACCAGGCGCAGGTGCAGGACGAGGGCATCCTCAGAGGCCACCTCGTTCTCGCCTGTGGCGCAGTTGGGGGACGGAGCCGATGGTGCGAAGGAACGGGGAATGCCCGTCGGGATTACAGAAAGGATAGCGCAGGCCACCCCGGGACAATCGTCGCAACAACAACAACAACAACGCACGGAAAATGTGCATTCAAACTAAACTGTGTTTTTTATTTTTTATTTTACCAGGTAAGGCCCCACTGAGCTATGTAGCTTTTTGTCAGAAGCGACCTGGCCACAAATGATAGCTCAACAAAGTGGCTTATCGCGTGGAAATTTATCGCAGCCAAATACTCTGAATGCATGATGTAGATTCTAAATGTGTAGGGGGTGGGGGGGGGGAGGCAGAAACCGGAGGACCCTGAGAAAAATCCACGTGACCACAGGGAGAGACAGAATGCTAACTGCAAATATACAGCAGCAGGCGTTGGGGTCGGGACCAAACCCACGACCTCCTGCATACCAGGCGAGGTAGTTAACATCTCCTAGCCACTGTGATGATGATGAGAGAGAGACACGCAAACTCCAAATATACAGCAGCAGCAGGCGTCAGGGTCGGGATCTAACCCACGACCTCCTGTAGACCAGGCGAGGTAGTTAACATCTCCTAGCCACCGGCGGCGCGTTATTTATTTGAAACTTTGATGTTAATTATTTAACTATAACCCTCCACCACCTGATAGGGCCAATAAAATGAAAGTTCTTCAGCAAACACGCGAGGAATCTTGACAAGTAGAGCGATGCTGGAGCTTCTGGTGAACTCCTGACGATGCTGGTTGTAATCTCCGACGAAAAAACGCCGTACAGAGTTGTCAACATTTTGCTTGCCGTGTGAGACGCCTTTGCAATCGGTATCTATTGCAGCATTTGAACATCTTAAAACCTCCTTATTTATTGCCCAGAAAGGCTGAAGACCATTCTTATTTTATCATCATTTTGATACTGCAAAAAAGGTACCCCATAGATATGTTTAGATTACAATTGGGTGGATTAAAAAAAAATGTAATTGGCAAAAAATTGGATCTTGCTGCACTGCCTTAACTGCACACAGCATCCACCACACCTGTTTGATGCACGTGATGGTCACCCATCCAAGCACTATCCAGGCTCATCCCGGCTTAGCATCCGAAATGTAATGGATCGGGTGTCTTGCGGGTGATTTAAGACACATACTGTACACATTCTTCACTCATCTTCAGGGTGGGGGGAGAGACACTTTCACCGATGAGACCTCATCAGTGTGAGTGAGGAGGGCCCCGCCACGCATTATTTGAAACCATTGCAGGGTTTGTGACAGCAGCAGCACCACCACGGTGATGATGATGGGGATGGGTGTTGTCACCTTTTGTGTATTGTCAGGGGTGGGGGGGCGCACTAAAGGCCATCAGGGGCCGCCAGTGGCCCCACGGGGGGCCTAGCAGTGAACAACACTGGCCTGCATGATTATACAGAGCAGTGGCACAAGCGGTGGTTTGTACAACTGTGCTACAGAAGCCGGCGATCCAATATAACCTCGCTTTATACTTTCCGTTAAGAGCGCCTTTCACTCAGGGGCGCTGGGCGTAGCTTAAAAACACGGTGACGGAAGAGAACGATTTAGATGGGGGGTGGGGGGACGTGCCAGGGTTGAGCAAGGGATGACTGTGACAGAGGGGTAGTTAGGGATCACGAGAGGGCAGGGGAGGGACGGGAAGAAGTGGAGGGGCCCAAGGAGGGGAGGGAACAAGAGAAAGAGTTCAATTCCTGACGACGGCGAACATGGGCGGCGAGCGATATCTGGGAGCGATCCTTCACTGTAACCCACGCGGACCACCGCGGGAAGATGGAGCGGCGACGCCGGCTCGCGTTCAGGGTATCGCGCGGCTGCGAGGCATGCCGGCGGCGTGGGGACGACTTCATCTCAGCAGTGGAGAGACCATCGCACCGCCGGTGCACGGTGGTGGAATTGAGGAGGGCTCGCAACTCGCTGCAATGCTTCAGAACACCCTGTGCCTCGACTGACGTCATCACGGAAAAAAGCCACGTGTAAACATTTTAAATTCTTTTTTTCCCTCCCCCCCCCCCGCCCCATGTTCTCCCTTCGAGAGTTCAAACGCACGTTTGGGATGGCTGCACGCCTCCAGCTCTGTCTCTTTTATCTCTGAGAGAGAGCGTGCGAGCTGCTTAAATGGAAACAAGCTCCGGTGCTCCGGGCTAAAGATTCACCTCCTCACCTCCCTCCTCCCCCTCCTCCTCCTCCTACTCCTCCCCACCCCCTCCTCGTCCACCGCTGGGATTCCGTGAATGTTCCCGAATCAAAAACCGATTCTCTGATATTTCCGTAAATGTTTGTATGATGATTATCATTGCGTTTGTTCAAACAGATAAGGCCCTCGCTGAGTCTCATGACCCTTTCTCGGGAGGATCTTGTCAAGTTTTTTTTGTGGCGATCGCCACGGACGATTCCGATTGGCTAATGTTGCGGCTCATTTTTTGCAAAATGGCAAACGTTTGGCCTTTGACACCAGTACACAGTGGCCTGCTGTTTTGCGAATTACATCGAGGGATCTGTAAACGTCCGCTGTGAAGCGCACGGCGGCCCACGGTCCCGCTCTGGTGACCGCAGCAGTCACGTTGCTGGCCGCTGCCCCCTTCATTTTACGTCGACGGAGGGAGGCCACCGCGCCTGCCAGTGCCCCGTCCGGGGCAGTTTGGCGCCGAGGCCGCTCGGGCCTCTTAACCCCCCCACCCTCACCGTGCTCACGGCGCGTCCTCACCGGGCCTCACGTCACACATGAGCGTGACCCCCGGCGATCCGGTGGACCCCAAGTCGGCGGCGGACGAGGCCGACGAAGCGGAAACGAGCTCGGCGTGCAGCCCCGGCAGGAAGCGAGGGGGTCCGGCGGGGCTGCCCCCGCTGCCCCCGCTGCCCCCGCCCGCGCGCTGCCCCTCCGCCCTCCGCGGCTGTTCAGCACCTGCGGGAGAATTCGCAAAAAAGCACCGGCGCCGCTGTCAGCGAAAAAGGCGCGCAAACGCCCGCCGTGCTGGTTTTGCTTCTTCGGCCTTTTTATTTTTTATTTTTTCTTCAACAGAGCAAAAGGGGCGAGAGAAGGAGAGAGAGAGAGAGAAGAGCAGAAGCGGAGGTTTACGTAGTGTAAGGTCGCACTCACGGTGAACATGACGACAACTGATATTCCCCACCTGCTCTCTCAGCGCCGTGTCGCCGTGTGGGCCGTGCCCGGCTCTCCCTCCAGCGGAGCAGACACTCGATGCCTTTGCAGGTTCCAGCGGCAGCGAGATCGTCGGCAGGGTGCGGCCAGCTGCCCGCCGACTCTGCGAAATCACGGCAACGTCGGCATTCGGGGCTGCGCTTTCAACGAGCGCTATGAGGCCGCGATCATACTGAGGTCGTGCACACAAAGTGCTTGACGCCAAGGCCGTAGCCATGGAGTCAACATTGGGTGGGGCCAAATCTTCCAGGGGGGTCTGGGGGTCCTAACCCAGAAAAAATATCTAAATTTGAAAACTCATTTCCTGCCAAATTCCTGCCTAAAATATTTAAAAATTCACGTGGGATGGATTTTTTTTTTACAATTATGTCTAATAGTGTATTGTATTACATTGCTCTGTTTTTACTTTTTTTTACCATTTCTTGTTTCATCGTATGTAATGTTTGAGATTAGGGATTAATAAAGTGCAACCATAACCACAATCATATAAACAGAAATCTATGCATTGGTTTATATGAAGAGTCCAGATGTGGCCAAGGTTTAGCAAATTGTTGTTTATATTTACATAGCATAGCAATTATTATTACTTACTCTTTGGTTCTTTCGGTAAAGTCACGTAGGAATAAAATAAAATAAATCACGACGTTTCGGGCTCAACACAAGCGTCCGTAATCAGGTGGGAAAGCGTGGCCTGCATCAGCAGCGTGACTTTACCGAGAGAACCAAAGAGTACGGATTCCGGCAGTCTCGAAAGCTTTAAATCAATTATTATTACCTTTTTATATTTTTATAGCAATATATTGGGGGGGACATTTTGGGCATATTTGAATATTGGGGGGGGGGTGGGGGGGGGGGGTTGGAAGCAATCAAGGGGCGGGTTTCTCAAATCGCCCCAAGTGGCGGTGCCGCGGCCTCCGCACGCTCAATCGTTGCCCAGTCTGGCACGACAAAATCTCGGCCGGCGATTCCGGGGGTGGTAAGAGGCTCACCGCGGCCGTGAGCGGTGCCCTCCAAGAAGACTGCTCCGTGGTGGTACGGGGCGTGGTGGTGGTGGTGGTGGTGAGCGGCGGCGGCGGCGGTGGCGGTGGTGGTGGTGGTGGTGGCGGTGCACTCGGCACCGTGGCAGTGGGCCGCCGGCTGTCTCGGCTGGGGGCAGTGGGGGCCCTGGCAGGGATTTCTTCCCTCCGATGGCCACGGCATGAGCAGCAGTGGCGGCAGGAGCAGCGGCAGCAGGCGAACCATTCGCAGAGTGGGCACCGCCACCTTGGGCATGGTCTCGCCACCTCCTTCTCCTCGCAATAGTAGCACTCTGCAAAACAAAAAAAACAAAAAACAGTTGGAGAGAGGGCGGCGGGGTGGTAATTGAATTTGTATCAGGCCCTACTTAAAACCACCAAACTATTTTTCTTTTAGCAGGTAAAGCCCCACTGAGCTGTGTAGTTCTTTTATTCAGAAGCAACCTATCACAAACGCTAGCACAACGAAGTGGGCTCAACATAATCGTGTGGAAATTCATAAGCAGCCAAATGCTCTAAACGCGCGACGTCGATTGTAAATGTGGAGGGAAAAACCGGAGGATCCGGAGAAAAAATCCACGCGACCACGGGGAGAGAGAGAAAGAGAGACACGCAAACTCCAAATACACGGCAGGCATCAGGGTCGGTATCGAACCCACGACCTCCTGCCTACCAGGTGAGGTAGCCAACATCTCGCCTGTGGTATGTGAAGTTCCGCCTCCAACTCTTCTCCGCTCTCTGGCCTCTCTGTGTGCTGTGACGGTGGGCCATTGTGCAAGACGTCCTCTCTTGTTAAACTATGTCAAGGCCGCGGCCGTGCGAACTGACGAATTGGCTGCCACACCGGTGCAGATAATAGAACCTGGTCCGTGCTCACAGCCGGTCATCGGCAGCGCTGCTTAGAGCTGGAACGATTCGTCAATTAAGTCACGCAATCAATTCAACTCTGTAATCTGCAATGAAGAGGGGGCATTGCTTGAAACATCACCGATATATATTTTAGTTTTCTCCCCTTTATGGCAGACTTCATGTGCCGCACACACTGCTCACTCAGTGTCACAAGAAATTGCGAGTTGTTTTTGTCCATGGGTAGATGACTCGCCCCCCCCCCCACGTCCCACCCCCCCCCCATCGAAGGCAGGAAACCCCCGCTGCAAGCCACGCCCAGCGTGACGCGGCCGACGACGCGAATGGCATCTTTCCATCACAGCGCATCCGAGAGCGTTTCTTTCCCAGCTATTTCCGCGTCACCCGAGCCTCGTCGATCGAACGGATCATTGGAAGAGCGACCCATTGCTTAAATAATTGAAATGGCGCAGCTACGTCGAATAATAATAATAATTCAAATGTACAATGAGGCATTCCATCCCAGGATCCCAATGCGCAACGCATGAAATGCGGGAAACAAAAAAACTGAACCCGGTCGGCAAACCGAACGAACGAACGAATGAGAGAAGGCCACTTTCAAGAGATGAGTTATCGAAGCGGACTTCAATATATCCGACTCCGATTGCCTGCTTTCAAGCGGCAAGGCGTTCCACCGCTCCTCGTGGATGGGGGAGAGCAAACGGATCGGGCCTGCGCAACCGGTAGAATGAACCCTCTCCGTATCCCGCGAGAGTTTACATTCCTTTAAACGGCTCGCGAACGCAGAATTCGCGAACGCAGAAACCTCGTTTACAATGGGTGGTGGGAGGGGGGGGGACGGCATGACGTTCCCAGTACGAGTTGGGTGGGGGGGAGGTTGGTGGGGAAATGCTAAATGTTTAATAACAATGACTACAATGAATAAAAACAAATATGTGTGTTTGTATTTCCTTTGATGACGATGATCATTTGACGACGACGATGATGGTGGTGATGGTGGTGGCGGGGAGCGGTGGTGTCGTAGCGGCTAGCGCTACGCTGCGAACCCAGCCAACACCAGGGACGATTATCTGAACCGGTCCTGGGCCTCCCCTAGGTCGACTCAGCCTCGAATGAGTACCCGGTGCGGTGTGTAAGCATCGCCACTGGGGAGACAAAGGCGGCCGTGGCGTTGTGTTGGCCACCCCACCCCATCCGTGTGCCGTGCCGGCCTTCACAGTTGCTACGCCAACAGCACTCGCCCCGACAGTCACAGGGCTGCACCGGGGGAACCTTGTCTTCGGTGAAGAATTCATGGAGGATGACTCGTCGGGAAGAAGCAGCGGTGCTTTGCTGACAACAACGCCACGCAGTTCGTCGTCACTTGAAGCGCCCTGGGCGAGCGAGCGAGCGAACGAGCCATCTGCCCCCGCAAACGCTTTTTTTTCCCCCTCGATTGCAATCCTCGAGTTCGTTTTGAACGTAACCTCACGGTCGCCTCGTTCATACCAAAAATGTGGCAAAAGGGGTCGGGAGAAGGGAGGGGGGGGGATGTCTCACAATCCGGAATCGTGCCCAAGTTTGATACCCGCAAAAGTTGGATACTTGGAGGTGTTTTTTTTTACGCGGCCTGTCCTTTATTTGACAGATCCACCGCCCGACGAGACCCTCCCGCTAAGCTTTACCACGTTGGTAGTGCGGATGTGTAAACGCGGGGAATTACAGATCGCCGCCGCGCCTCCGATCAGCACGGTCGGCTACGTACGGTGCGAAAGAAGTTCAGCATACATTGGCTCACGCAGAGACCCATCAACTCACACAGAGACCCAAAGACTCACACAGAGGCTCTTAGACTCACACAGAGGCCCATAGACTTACACGAGGACCCATAGACTCACACGGAGACCCATAGAGTCACACGGAGACCCATACTCACACGGAGACTCATAGACTCACACAGAGACCCATAGACTCACACAGAGACCCATAGACTCACACAGAGACCCATAGACTTACACGGAGACCCATACTCACGCAGAGACCCATCGACTCACGCAGAGACCCATAGACTCACGCAGAGACTCAAACTCACACAGAGACTCATACACTCACACAGAGACCCATAGACTCACACAGAGACTCAAACTCACACAGAGACTTATAGACTCACACAGAGACCTATAGACTAACACAGAGACCTATAGACTAACACATAGACTCACACAGAGACTCAAACTCACACAGAGACCCACATACTCACACAGAGACTCATAGACTCACACAGAGACCCGTAGACTCACACAGAGACCCATAGACTCACACAGAGACCCATAGACTTACACAGAGACCCATAGTTTGTTGTCCTTCCCCCCGCACCTCCGATTAGCGCGGTTGGCTACGTACGGTGCGAAAGAAGTTCAAAACGTCGCAGCGTACGAGTCAACGGGCAATGCTGAAAAAGACACCGTGCATATACCGTGAGTATTCAAAGTGCCACGCGTGTTCCCTTATTGTGTTTATTCAACGAGTAGGATAATATTCGTCTCGGGATGTCGCGCGCTGCATTGAGAGACGAGGGAAAGAAGGTCAGCGAGCGGGGTTACAATAATGACAACTATTGCAAAAACGTGACCGCCACATTGTTGACTCTTGCCCAGTGTCTGATCAGCTCGTGACAGCACCACACGACCACCAAAGTCATCATCCCCCGTGGGAGGGTTCGCCTCCGCCTCCCCCTCGGTTTGTCGGCAGCCAGATGTCGACGCGGCAACGCATTATTGAATCCATCCGTGCGGAGCTTCGCGTGCAACGCACTCGTTATGCACCCACGTGGGGTTGTTTGTTTTTTGTTTAGTTTGCTTCATCTCGACATTCGCTCAGAAACGTTTCGCAAAGCACGCGAGTTGGTGGTAGCGCACGACCCTTTAGGTAATTTGCGACTGAGATTGTTGCGTTTGTTACCGCGTTACTCGTGGGGAGGGGGGGGGGGACTTTTTTATTTATTGTTTCCCCTCCGGGAGTTAAAGAGAATAATGAGCGACGCTGTCGTGCGAAAGCGACAACGCAGAGCACGCATGCCCGTCATACGTTGGGCGCCAACGTTCATGCGGCAAAAGTTGTCCCGACGTCGCAGCACACAAAACTCCTCGCAACGCTCCGGGGCCCGGCTGGGGGGGGCCCGACTCCACTTGGGAGATGCCCCCCCCCAATCTGTGACAGCTGCGGCCACCACCACCACCCCCCCCCCAATTTGTGAGAACTGTGACCACCACCACCCCCCCCCCCAATTTGTGAGAACTGTGACCACCACCACCCCCCAATTTGTGAGAACTGCGACCGCGACCACCACCCCCCCCCCCCCCCCCAATTTGTGAGAATTGCGACCACCACCCCCCCCAATCTGTGAGAGCTGCGAGCACCACCACCCCCTACCCCCCAATCTGTGACAACTGCGACCACCACCATCACCACCACCCCCCCTGCCCCTCAATCTGTGAGAACTGCGGCCACCACCACTCCCTCTGCCCCCCAATCTGTGAGAGCTGCGACTACCACCACCACCCCCCCCCCCAATCTGTGAGAACTGCGACCACCACCCCCCCTACCCCCCAATCTGTGACAACTGCGGCCACTACCACCCCCTTGCCCCCCAATCTGTGAGAGCTGCGACCACCACCACCACCCCCCCCCAATCTGTGAGAGCTGCGACCACCACCACCCCCCGCCCCCCCCGTCTGAGAGAACTACGACCACCACCACCCCCCTGCCCCCCAATCTGTGAGAGCTGCGACCACCACCCCCCCAATCTGTGACAGCTGCGACCACCACCCCCCCCCTGCCCCCCAAAGGCAGCGTTCAACAACAGCGCCCATCTCCATTCAGCAGCGGTGAAGCCCCTCCGGGCGGGCCACATTTGGTCTCGCTGTGCTCGTAATTGATGCCAGACGCGAGCGGCATCACACATTGGGTGGGGGGGGAGCGGGAGGCATCGGGGGCCGAGGCCCCAACAGCTTCTAATTCGGCGAATTAAAACTTATATACATATAGAAAATGAAACCATCCCCCAAGGGACGCGAAGCCACGAGCCCTCACTGTACCAAAGTCGAGAGTCGCTTGCAAGGAGCGTGATGGGTAAGGGTGGGTAAGGGAGAGCAGGGGTAGCGAGAAAGTTGTCGGTGCCGCTGAGGCGGGGAGCGGACGAGAAGGGAGTTACCGAGACGTGGCGAGCGGAGTCCGCTTACCTGCCCGGGATGAGCGGCTGCCCGGAGCGACTGAGAGGAGGGCAGAGATTTGTGTCACGCACAGATCCCTCCTCCCTCCTCATCCCTCCTCCCTACTTCTCCCTCCTCATCCCTCCGCCTCCCTCCCTCCTCCCTCCGCCTCCCTCCTCCCTCCTCATCTCCCGCCCTCTCCCCTCCTCCACGTCTCCTCCCTCCGCTCATCTCCTCCCTCTCCTCTCCACTCCCCATCCATCCATCTCCCGCCCTCATCCCTGCTCCTCATCTCCCGCCCTCCTGCCTGGCCCCTCCTCTACCCTCCACATTCCCTCATCCCCTCCACCAAATCTCCTAAGCTAAACGAAATTTTGCGTTTAATGTTACCAGGTAAAGGCCCCAATGAGCTGCTGTGTAGCTATTTTTTCAGAAGCGACCCTGGCCCACCATCATCATCATCACCACCACGTGGAACAAATCGGAGGAACCGGAGAAAAATCCACGCGACCACAGGGAGAGAGAGAGAGAGAGACGCAAACTCCAAATATACAGCAGCAGGCGTCAGGTTTAAGATCGAACCCACGACCTCCTGTGTATCAGGCGAGGTTGTTAACATCTCCTAGCCACCGTGGGGGTGTCAGGGTCCGGGGTGGAACCCACGACCTCCTGTATACCAGGCGAGATTGTTAACATCTCCTAGCCACCGTGGCGCCCCACTGCCCTTATCCTTCCACCGCATCTCCTCCCTCATCTCCCACCCCTATCCTTCCTTCACATCTCCTTTCCCCAGCATTCCATCTTCTCTACAAACACACACCACCAGTGTGGAGGGCCGCCACACCATTTGAAACCATTGGTTGGGGGGGATTTGACTGCACCACCACGATGATGATGGTGGTTGGTGGATGTCTGTCACCGTTTGTGTATTGTCGGGGGGGGGGGGGGGTGGGAGGCCTCACTTAAGGGTCCACCAGGGGCCCGCTCGTGGACCCGCGGGGGCCTTGCGATGACCAACATGGGGCCCACGCTGACAGACCATTCCGGAGTTGTCGTTGACGAGGCAGAGGGGGGCAGCCCTGCAGGGGTTACCTGCGCACGCCACCGCTGGCTGAAGGGCCACACCGTTTGAAACCATTGTTGGGGTTTGACAGCAGCACGATGGTGATGATGATGATGATTGGGTGGGGTGTTGTCACTGTTTGTGTGTTATCGGAGGGGGCCTGCATGTCAGGGGCCGCACTAAGGCCAACCAGGGGCCCGCCAGCCGCACTAAAGGCCAACCAGGGGCCCGCCAGCCGCACTAAAGGCCACCAGGGGCCCGCCAGCCGCACTAAGGCCAACCAGGGGCCCGCCAGCCGCACTAAAGGCCACCAGGGGCCCGCCAGCCGCACTTAAGGCCACCAGGGGCCCGCCAGCCGCACTAAGGCCAACCAGGGGCCCGCCAGCCGCACTAAAGGCCACCAGGGGCCCGCCAGCCGCACTAAAGGCCACCAGGGGCCCGCCAGCCGCACTAAAGGCCACCAGGGGCCCGCCAGCCGCACTAAAGGCCACCAGGGGCCCGCCAGCCGCACTAAAGGCCACCAGGGGCCCGCCAGCCGCACTAAAGGCCACCGAGGGCCCGCCTGTGGCCCCCGTGGGGGCCTAGCAGTGAAGACCTCCGTCTGGAGGGAGTCTCTCTCTCTCTCGTACTCCCGTGTCGTGGAAACCCATCCGCCAGCAGTGGCGTGAGAAACTCATTGAAGGGCTTGCCATCACTACCCTCACCCCCCGTTACCTTGTTGGTAAGTAACCTCTTAGCTGGTCATTGGCAGGCTCGCACGCACTTTAAAGGCCCCCCCCCAAAAAAAACCGTCTCTGCTGCCTGGCACCACATGGGAGCTCCCCCCCCCGCTGTGAAGGCGTGAGGGTGACTGTGTGTGAGAGTCTCGTGAGACAGAGACATCTGTGTGTAGTGAGACAGAGACATCTGTGTGTAGTGAGACTCGTTAGACAGAGACATCTGTGTGTGTGAGTCTCGTGAGACAGAGACATCTGTGTGTAGTGAGACAGAGAGAGACATCTGTGTGTAGTGAGTCTCGTGAGACAGAGACATCTGTGTGTAGTGAGACAGAGAGAGACATCTGTGTGTAGTGAGACAGAGAGAGACATCTGTGTGTAGTGTGACTCGTGAGACAGACAGAGACATCTGTGTGTGTGAGACAGAGACAGAGACATATGTGTGTAGTGAGACTCGTTATACAGAGACAGAGACATCTGTGTGTAGTAACACTTGTGAGACAGAGACATCTGTGTGTAGTGAGACTCGTTAGACAGAGACATCTGTGTGTAGTGAGACTCGTTAGACAGAGACATCTGTGTGTAGTGAGTCTCGTGAGACAGAGACATCTGTGTGTAGTGAGTCTCGTTAGACAGAGACATCTGTGTGTAGTAAGACTCGTGAGACAGAGACATCTGTGTGTAGTGAGACAGAGACATCTGTGTGTAGTGTGACTCGTGAGACAGAGACATCTGTGTGTAGTGAGACAGACAGAGACATCTGTGTGTAGTGTGACTCGTGAGACAGACAGAGACATCTGTGTGTAGTGAGACAGAGACATCTGTGTGTAGTGAGACAGAGACAGAGACATCTGTGTGTAGTGAGTCTCGTGAGACAGAGACATCTGTGTGTAGTGAGACAGACAGAGACATCTGTGTGTAGTGTGACTCGTGAGACAGACAGAGACATCTGTGTGTAGTGAGACAGAGACATCTGTGTGTAGTGAGACAGAGACAGAGACATCTGTGTGTAGTGAGTCTCGTGAGACAGAGACATCTGTGTGTAGTGAGACTCGTGAAACAGACAGAGACATATGTGTGTAGTGAGACAGACAGAGACATCTGTGTGTAGTGAGACAAACAGAGACATCTGTGTGTAGTGAGACAGACAGAGACATCTGTGTGTAGTGTGACTCGTGAGACAGACAGAGACATCTGTGTGTGTGACTCGTGAGACAGAGACATCTGTGTGTAGTGAGACTCGTGAGACAGACAGAGACATCTGTGTGTAGTGAGACAGACAGAGACATCTGTGTGTAGTGAGACAGACAGAGACATCTGTGTGTAGTGAGACAGACAGAGACATCTGTGTGTAGTGAGACTCGTGAGACAGACAGAGACATCTGTGTGTAGTGAGACAGACAGAGACATCTGTGTGTAGTGAGACTCGTGAGACAGACAGAGACATCTGTGTGTAGTGAGACAGACAGAGACATCTGTGTGTAGTGAGACAGACAGAGACATCTGTGTGTAGTGAGACAGACAGAGACATCTGTGTGTAGTGAGACTCGTGAGACAGACAGAGACATCTGTGTGTAGTGAGACAGACAGAGACATCTGTGTGTAGTGAGACAGACAGAGACATCTGTGTGTAGTGAGACAGACAGAGACATCTGTGTGTAGTGAGACTCGTGAGACAGACAGAGACATCTGTGTGTAGTGAGACAGACAGAGACATCTGTGTGTAGTGAGACTCGTGAGACAGACAGAGACATCTGTGTGTAGTGAGACAGACAGAGACATCTGTGTGTAGTGAGACTCGTGAGACAGACAGAGACATCTGTGTGTAGTGAGACAGACAGAGACATCTGTTTGTAGTGAGACTCGTGAGACAGACAGAGACATCTGTGTGTAGTGAGACAGACAGAGACATCTGTGTGTAGTGAGACAGACAGAGACATCTGTGTGTAGTGAGACGGACAGAGACATCTGTGTGTAGTGAGACAGACAGAGGCATCTGTGTGTAGTGAGACAGACAGAGGCATCTGTGTGTAGTGAGACAGACAGAGGCATCTGTGTGTAGTGAGACAGAGACAGAGACATCTGTGTGTAGTGAGACAGACAGAGGCATCTGTGTGTAGTGAGACAGACAGAGACATCTGTGTGTAGTGAGACAGACAGAGGCATCTGTGTGTGTGAGACAGACAGAGACATCTGTGTGTAGTGAGACTCGCGAGACAGACAGAGACATCTGTGTGTAGTGAGTCTCGTGAGACAGACAGAGACATCTGTGTGTAGTGAGACAGGTGAGACAGACAGATACATCTGTGTGTAGTGAGACAGACAGAGACATCTGTGTGTAGTGAGACAGAGACAGAGACATCTGTGTGTAGTGAGTCTCGTGAGACAGACAGAGACATCTGTGTGTGTAGTGAGACTGGTGAGACAGACAGAGACATCTGTGTGTAGTGAGACAGACAGAGACATCTGTGTGTAGTGAGTCTCGTGAGACAGACAGAGACATCTGTGTGTAGTGAGACAGACAGAGACATCTGTGTGTAGTGAGTCTCGCGAGACAGAGACAGAGACATCTGTGTGCAGTCTAACGCCGTGTAAGGAGGCCCTAGGCACTTCTATATCGTGAGGCCTTCAATAAGAACTTCACAACGTGCTGATGCTGCTGCTGCTGCTGCTTGCCCCATGTGACTACCCCCTGCAGGCACCCCGCTCGTTTCTCATTCGGAACTTCGGGCAGCCGCTGGACAGATGTCGTTAGTGCTGGTGACACGTCCATTGCTCAGTCTGTGCGATGCGTTCCGCGGACACAGCAGATTTAATTTGAAATGATTGAGAGAGAGAGAGAGACAACAAAAACAAGGCAAGCCTAAACGAAAAAAAAAGCTTTATAGCTCATCTGATTCTATGCTGGAAGGGGGCAGTGGTGCTTGTGTTGGTGTGGGTCCCAGAGGGGGGGGGGGGTTCTTTGCTGCCGTGGTTGATGCCCTCGGCTGTCGCTGTGCCGTGGAAGAGAATCCCCTTGGAGGCCCACTACAACAAATTATCCTACGGAGGGAGCTGGTAGGAACGTTGGGCTGCTCGGTCAATGGCCAGGGTCAACGGCGGCACCACCACGTGGTGTATTCCCGACTGTGAGGGCGGGCACAGGCCGGCGTGAGTAGGTTAAACGTTGAGTTTTATAAGGGCACCACGGGGTGACGTCGTAACTACATTATCAATGACGTAGTAACTACATTATCAGTGACGTAATAACTACATTATCAGTGGCGTAGTAACTACATTATCAGTGACGTAGTAACTACATTATCAGTGACGTAGTAACTACATTATCAGTGACGTAGTAACTACATTATCAGTGGTGTACTAACTACATTATCAGTGGCGTAGTAACTACATCATCAGTGGCGTAGTAACTAAAGTATAAGTGACGTAGGTACTACATTGTCAGTGACGTAGTAACTACATTATCAGTGACGTAGTTTCTACCTCATCAGTGACGTAGTAACTACATCATCAGCTCAGGGGATGCGGCAGTCGGTGCGGCTGGGCCCCCCCCCCCCCCCCCCCCCCCCCCCAATATTTGTGTGATTTGTCTCTTGCACGGTGGCACCCTAGAGGCTATTTCTCTATCGCGGCCTCCTCTTGCCTACTCATCGCATCGTCGCTCCGCTCACGGTCCCGAACATTTAACGCTGTCGGGGTGCGCTCCGTCTTGGTAAAACGCAGCTCCCTCCGGCTCCGTAGCAGTTCCTTCTTACGTGACCGCTCTAATTGCATTAAAATAGAACGCGGAAGGGAAGCGAAAGCATCTGTGTTTAAAATTAAATTTAAACCGCGTTTTACATAAGTGTTGTTCTTATTCTGCTTGTTTGAAACTTGTCGTTGACAACAAATCTCATGGTGGGTTGTCAAGGGGCCCCCCACTCCCAACTGGTATCTTTGGCCAGCAGGGGAGAGTTGGGGAGGGGGCAAGGCACCCCCCTGACTGCCCCCCCCCCCACGCTCGCTACGCCACTGAGCAGCGCTCAGCCAAGTAAAAACACACACTCTGGGATGATGCTGCTGTCCATTTTATTGTGTTATATTCAAGTGAAATAAATTAAAAGACAGATCTCGGGGGGGGGGGGGGTTGCTGTGGGGGACAGAGGGGGAGTGGTGGTGGTGGCGGGGGGGGCTACATCAAAACGTACTTTGATTTTTTTCTTGGGCCAATCTTATCCGCGAATTACGTCTCCCACATTACACATTTCAGAACGTCCAATAAGACACAAACCACGACGTGATGTTCAATATGTACATGGGGCGAAAAACAAAACCAACGCGTGTTTTGTGAATTTTTTTTGAGTGTTTGTCTATTTTTTTTCTTTTTTTTTCAGTCGTATAACCATCCAGGGCAGCACGACATACGGGACAGGTTCATGCATTTCAACGGAAGGGTGTTTTTACTTTTATATCGCCTGAACGAGGCAGACCCGATGGTTGTTGTCAAATTGGCAGAGCGTGGTGGAACTTCTGACTTATCCATTGGGGGGGGGGTCGATGGTTGATGAGGAGGGGGGGGGGAGTGGATGGGGGCTAGGGAGGGGTGGGGAGGAATGGGGGGGGTGGATGGAGGGGTGGGGTTTGGGGGGCTCGATGGGGAGGAGAGGGGAGGTGGATGAAGAGTTGACGGGCATCTTCAATTTTAACCGAATCACCACATGGTCACGCTGTCAAATCTGCAAGGTAAGAGAGAGAGAGACGACCCAGCCCATGGTTAACGACTCGCTGCTTCATCAAAATATGAAAAACAAAGCGATTGAATTGATGCTGCATTGGCAGGGGCGCACAGAGCACAAGCAACAGCAACAACAAAGAGCTCTAAACAACCGTCAACAACACTTTCGCTCTAATAAGGAAGACAATCAATATAATTGGCAAACGTTTTAGGCAATGGGCCTTCTTCATAGCATATAATAAATGTGGTACTGTTATAACATGCTAATACATGTGGTACTGTTACAGCATGCCAATACATTTGGTATTGTTATCCATAGCAGACGTTTCGAGCGATGCAGAACGGCAATTGGCTGAAAACATCACACGCACACACACAATATAACAAAGACAAAGATCATCCGTGTAGCCTGTAATAGACTGCTGGGGCAAGTGCCGTTAGCGAGCACCTATGAAGGCTGGCACGGCACGGCACACGAGGGGGTGGGTGGCCGACACCACGCACGGCCGCCTTTGTCTCCCCAGTGGCGATGTTAAAACACCACACCAGGTACTCATTCTGAGGCTGAGTCGACCTAGGGGAGGCCCAGAACCGGTTCAGACAATCATCACCGGGTGTTGGCCGTGAGCGGGAATCGAACTTGGGTCGCCGCAAGAGATGCAAGCTCTGGGTCATTCCCCTGTGCTGGGACTTTGTAGGATGCACGTTGAGATGTATAAGGGAAACGGGGTGACCAATAAGGTCTGAATTGGTCTGTAATAAGGTAGGACGCTGATAAGTGGTTGACAGGTTTGTTTATGCACCTATGCAAATGTAACAGATCAATTCGACTCAAGATAAATTCATCAAACAATAATTCGCTCACGACACTCATGTCGTCAAACAGAAGAAGTTTGTTCCTAGCTTGGAGCTAGCTGCTGCGGCAAAGTGCACGAATCATTCCGTCATCGTTATTCAAAGATAACAAAATGAAAGTTATTTTCCCCGGATGACCACGGCGTGGAACGGAGGAGCCTCAATGAGGGCCTCCAACACGACGAGGGCCTTTAAAGGCCTCAATTCGCCTTCTGTGCTAACCCTCACCCTGGGTGCGGCGTGTGTCTCACGTGGTGTAGGGCTGGGGGCAGGCTGGTCCAGAGCTTTGTTGGAGATGCAATCGCAAAACATTTGAACTGAACCCTCGTGCACAACTGGAGGTCAGTGAACGGTGCAGTTACTCGACCTGGACTGCCAGGCAAGTGGGGGCCTTCAAAATAAGGACATTATGGGTAAAACTATAACAACTATTTTTTTGGTATTTTACCAGGTAAGGGCCCACTAAGCTATATAGCTCTTTTTTCAGAAGCGACCTGGCCATCACAAACGATAGCTCGTCGAAGTCGCTTATCACCTTTGACATCCATAGCCGTAGCTGAATACTCTGAAAGCGTGATGTTGATTCTAAAAGGCGGAGGGGAAAACCCGGGGGGGAAATCCATGCGACTACAAGGAGAGAGAGAAAGACACACACCACAAACTCCAAATATGCAGCAGGCATCTGGGTCAGGATCGAACCGACGGCCTCCTGCACACCGGGCGAGGGAGTTAACATCTCCTGGCCACCGTGGCGTGGTTAATCCGGCCCTGGTCACCCATGCCATCACCACTGGCTCCGACTCCACGTTATAGGCAGCCTCATCAGCAACAGATTCCTACCTCGGGTTGCTGCTCCTGTCGCCACGATTTTCTTGAAATATAAACTCTGGGACGTAGGGCTCGGTAAGCGCCCTCTTTCCATACCTTTGGTGGAAAACGAGAGGAAACAACACCGAAAACGACGATAGTTATTATAATGATGGGACGCATTACTAAAAAAAAACCACAGCAGTCCATGGTGCGACATCAATCACACCTATAAAATACATCACTACACATCGGCCGTGTATGTTTAACTTCTTTCACGCTGTATGTAATCAACCGTGCTAATTGTGGGTGCGTGGGACGGACAACAAACTAAACACACACAAAAACTGTTCTCAAGAATTGAGTTTTCAATCTAGATGATTTAGAAGTGCATAGCTCTTCACGTCGGAAGGAACATACCCATGGATACCCCACAGAGATCCAGAGACTCGTATAGAAACATAGACACCAACAGAAACCCACACAGACGTTATAGGGACCCATACTCATGCATGCAAGTCGAACTTCTTTCGCGCCGTAAGTTACAAAAAAGCAGGCCATTGTCAATCCACTGCCGGATGAAGGCCTCCATTATCCACGCACGATGCAACGTTAACCCAGCACCTGAACTGTATGTCTGTCGAGTTTCTTTCGCACCGTACATAGCCAACCGTGCCCAAAACCAAGGCCGTAGCCATGGAGTCAACATTGGGGGGGGGGACCAAATCTTTCAGGGGGTCTGGGGGTCCCCCCCAGAAAAAAAATCTAAATTTGAAAACGAATTTCCTGCCTAAAATATTAAAAAATAATGCCTAATAGTGTTATTGTATTACATTGCTCTGTTTTTTTCCTTACCTTTTCTTGTTTCATTGTATGTAATGGCAGAGATTAGGGATTAATAAAGTACAACCATAACCACAATCATATAAACAGAAATCTATTTTATAGCAATATATTGGGGGGGGGGCATTTTGAGCAAATTTGAATATTGAGGGGGGGGGGGGGAATGCCCCCCCCCCCTCAATATATATTATAATTATAATTACGGCCTTGCCAATAACACATGCACGTCTCCGATTAGCGCGATGGCGGTAGATTTGTGCCGGATAGGCGTGGGCCACACGCGTCTCTGTAAACAAAATAAACTCGCCTTGACTCTTCTGGATTGTTCTCAATTACATTGATTGGGTTGGGGGCGGGGCGTGGGAGCCGTGTGGGGTGGGGGGAGAGTCTGCCCCTCCCCCTCTCACCCCCTTCCCCCCACAACCCTGGACCCGCCGGGGGGCTGGTCCGTGTCTGGGTGGTTGGGGGGCTGGACAGGGGGGGGGGGGGGGGGGGAGGCGCTGGTCCGGGTCGGTGGTGGTGGTGGTGGGTGGGGGGTCGAACGTCGCGGGTGGCGGTGTTGTTGATGGTGGCGGTGTTGTTGTTGTTGGTGGTGGTGGTGTTTGTTGCACGCACCGTTGCCGGGTGATGAGGTTGATGTAGTGGCGCACGGCGGACAGGTACCGGGCCAATTCCTCCGCGGGGGCGTCCTCGCCGGGGCTGTCGGGCTTGTTGGGGAAGGCGGCCGCGCCACGTGCGCACGCGCTCGCCAGCAGGCACAGGGCGAGCGCGCAGAGCCACACGCGCGCGGAGCCCCGCGCTCCGACGAAGCAGCTCATCATCCCTGCGGTGGACAGAGGACAACAGCATCCGACATCAAGAACAACCAACAACAACAAACAACAACAAACAAACAACAAACACACGATACATGAATAAAGTCTGTTGGATGAATGACTTCCACATCGCCCCCCCCGTATCTCTCCCGAGCGACAGATACTGGGGAGAGAGACATCGACACGGCGACGCACTTACTTGCTGGCTTGAACCGCCTGAATGTGAAAATGTAATTCTGTTTGCTCTGCGGTCGACGTCGTCAGCCGTACGAAAGAACGAGAAGACTCTCGCAACCTTCCCGGCACCACCGAAAATACAAAGACAAAGATCCCCCGTGGAGCGTCAGCAGACTGTCGGGGCAAGTGCTGTTCGCGAGTCGCACCTGTGAAGGCCGGCATTGTGACACACGACGGGGTGGGTGGCCAGCGCCTCGCCCTCCGAGTTCTCAGCTTTCCCTGCCATAGCGGTGAAAAAAAACTATACCAACGGTATTGGCCAAAGATCTCAATGATGAATGTTAAAAAAAAATCTGCAAATAATTGCTTACTCTTTGGTTCTTTCGGTAAAGTCACGTCGGTAGGAAAAAAAATAGATCACGACCTTTCGATCGCAACACAAGCGACCGTCATCAGGTGAGACAATCACAGCAGAAAGCAGAGAAACTGCTTTCTGCTGTGATTGTCTATTATTTCCGACCCACGTGACTTTACCGAAAGAGCGAAAGAGTATGGATCCCTGCAGTCACGAAAGCTTCAAATCAAAATAATTGCTTGTCGCACCTAGCAACGTCTCGCCAGGACCCTCTTGAAAAAGAGTCTCGATACTCGGCGACTCGGCTTTCCTGGGTAAATAAGCGTAAAATAAATAAATAAATACCAATTTTTAAGGCGGCATGACTCGAAAACACATCGAAACCGCACCCTCCGATTAGCACGGTTGGCTACGTACGGTACGAAAGAAGTTCAACGCACGTACATACATAGACTCACACAGAGACCCATAGACTCACACAGAGACCCGTAGACTCACACAGAGACCCGTAGACTGACACAGAGACCCGTAGACTCACACAGAGACCCATAGGCTCACACAGAGACCCATAGACTCACACAGAGACCCATAGACTCACACAGAGACCCGTAGACTCACACAGAGACCCGTAGAGTCACACAGAGACCCATAGAGTCACACAGAGACCCGTAGACTCACACAGAGACCCGTAGACTGACACAGAGACCCGTAGACTCACACAGTGGCTCATAGGCTCACACAGAGACCCATAGACTCACACAGAGACCCACAGACTCACACAGAGACCCGTAGACTGACACAGAGACCCATAGACTCACACAGAGACCCATAGACTCACACAGAGACCCATAGACTCACACAGAGACCCATAGACTCACACAGAGACCCATCAGAGAGAGATAGATCATATATAGATACATTCACTGGCGGAGCCAGTGGGATTTATTAGTAATACATCGGCATTTTGCGACCCCCACTGCCACTGTGTACGTCTACAGAGTCCACGACTTCACTGAAGGCATCAACACCTTCAGCGAGCGCGATGCCGATCACACAACGCGGTTCGAATTCGACACCTCGATCGATGGCTGCGCCATCGCCGCACATTCCTCGAATAAAAATCAAGGGACAAGTTCCTTTACTTACTAACAACTCCTCTATCATTTATCATTGCTGGAGGGGTTGCCCCCCCTACTACCTGAAAATCCTGGCTCCGCCATTGGATACATTGCCATTCTTTAAAACTAGGTAGGATCAAGTCGGGGGTGGGGGGGGGACCCTGAACAATTTAGCTAAAATAAACACATCGCTTAAAAATGTACAGGTTTATTCGGGGTTAAATCTAACCCCCCAAAAATTATGCATTATGGATAGTATTGGTCGCGAAAGCTTACGTGTTGAACTGACTAATCTCTATGGGGATACTTTTCTTCAAACCATAACATTTTGAGAAACTTCAATTTAAGCTATTTACGCGATTTAACCCCCCCCCCCCCCAAAAAAAAACTTTATTATGGAGATCGTTTGAAGTCTGTGGAGCACATGTAGGGTGACGTGGCTGCAATGTGTGTAGAATCAGAACACTCGCCACCATAATCCATTCTATTCAAGATTCTCTACGAGACAGATTTCGAGAACCCGCTAAACCCTCGAACGGCAAAAGGTGATTGATTGATACAACTCCCTGGCATGGGCAGATGTATTTGTTTATTAAAGGGGCGCCACTGTGGCTAGGAGATGTTAACTACCTCGCCTGGTATGCAGGAGGTCGGGGGTTCCATCCCGACCCTGACGCCTACTGTATATTTGGAGTTTGCCTATCTCTCTCCGTGGTGAGATGTTAACTACCTCGCCTGGTATGCAGGAGGTCGGGGGTTCCATCCCGACCCTGACGCCTGCAGCTGTATATTTGGGGTTTGCGTGTCTCTCTCCGTGGTGAGATGTCAACTACCTCGCCTGGTATGCAGGAGGTCGAGGGTTCCATCCCGACCCTGACGCCTGCTGTGTATTTGGAGTTTGCCTGTCTCTCTCCGTGGTGAGATGTTAACTACCTCGCCTGGTATGCAGGAGGTCGGGGGTTCCATCCCGACCCTGACGCCTGCTGTATATTTGGAGTTTGCCTATCTCTCTCCGTGGTGAGATGTTAACTACCTCACCTGGTATGCAGGAGGTCGGGGGTTCCATCCCGACCCTGACGCCTGCTGTATATTTGGAGTTTGCCTATCTCTCTCCGTGATGAGATGTTAACTATCTCGCCTGGTATGCAGGGGGTCGGGGGTTCCATCCCGACCCTGACGCCTGCTGTATATTTGGAGTTTGCGTGTCTCTCTCTCCCTCATCATCATCACGGTGGCTAAGAGATGTTAGCTACCTCCCCTGGTATACAGGAGGACGTGGGTTCCATCCCGACCCTGACGCCTGCTGCTGTATATTTGGAGTTTGCGTGTCTCTCTCTCTCCCTCATCATCATCATCACGGTGGCTAGGAGATGTTAGCTACCTCCCCTGGTATACAGGAGGACGTGGGTTCCATCCCGACCCTGACGCCTGCTGCTGTATATTTGGAGTTTGCGTGTCTCTCTCCGTGGTGAGATGTTAACTACCTCGCCTGGTATGCAGGGGGTCGGAGGTTCCATCCCGACACTGACGCCTGCTGCTGTATATTTGGAGTTTGCGTGTCTCTCTCCGTGGTCGCGTGGATTTTTCTCCGGGCCCTCCGGGTTTTCCCTCCAAATTTAGAATCGCCATCACGAGTGTCTGTCTGGCTGCAATCCATTTCCACATGATGATAAGCCACTTCGTCCAGCTATGATTTGTCGATAGCCAGGTCGCTTCTGAAAAAATAACTATATAGCTCAGTGGGCCTTACCTGGTAGAAAATATATATATAAACTACAGCACTGAATTGTGCCGTTAATCGCTAACCGGTTTTTATTTTAAAATACAGGGACTCCTCAGCTTACGAACATTCGACTTACAACCTTTCAGAGATAAGAACAAACCTGTCCGCATGTCCAGTTGCCTGTTAGGACAGAGAGTCGTAAGTTCAACCGCCACGTTTGGAATCGAGTAAAGTTGGACTTACGAACAAATTGACTTACGAAGAGACCTCTGGAATCGAACTCGTTCGTAAGTGGAGGAGTCCCTGATTAGCGTAGTGTGTATAGTAGTGTAGTAGTATATAGTCGTGTAGTGTGTATAGTAGTGTAGTGTGTATAGTAGTGTAGTGTGTATAGTAGTGTAGTGTGTATAGTAGTGCAGTGTATATTGTAGTGTAGTAGGTATAGTAGTGCAGTGTGTATCGTAGTGTAGTGTGTATGGTAGTGTAGTGGGTATAGTAGTGTAGTGTGTATAGTAATGTAGTGTGTATATTAGTGTAGTAGTATATAGTCGTGTAGTGTGTATAGTGGTGTAGTGTGTATAGTAGTGTAGTGTGTATAGTAATTTAGTGTATATAGTAGTGTAGTGTGTATAGTAGTGTGTAGTAGTATATAGTAGTGGTGTGTATAGTAATGCAATGTGTATAGTAGTGTATAGCAGTGTAGTAGTACAAAGTAGTGTAGTATATAATGTACTATAGTAGAGCCATACAACACGTTTGGAATTGACAAGAGTAAACTTGCACTTACGAACACATCGACTTCCGAACAGACCTCTGGAACCTAACTCATTCGTAAGCAGACGAGTCCCTCTACAGCATTTTACACGAACATACATCGTTCAATCGGGTCGCCGTGACAACATTCTCCACGATACAATATTCTCTATCACACATCACGACGTGGCGGCTGTCGAGTGATCAATTTCCTATAATTTTACGGTTGCATCTATGGGACCCTTTTTGCCAGGACAGGTACTGTCAAGATATTGAATGATTGCAAAACATACGTGAAGGCTTTTACCCTTTCTGGCACACATACGGGAGACGTTAACGTATTCAAATACCAAATTGACACCTCAATTACAAGGCATGATGTCTGCATTAACCACACATGCTCGTGGTGAAACATGCAAAGAAATACGCTTTGATAACACTGTGTAACTAAAACATATTTTTTTGTTGTTTCTGGGTAGTGTTATTTCCTAATTGTTTATGCTTCAAACGTACAGAAAATGGCTATTATTCCCCACAAACTTTGCTTTTGTGACCAGGACACTGATATTTTGAAATTTACCTATTTTCAATGAGAAAACGTGGCGTGCATTTGGGTCATTCCTTCACTTGAAGTTCTGGTCACAAAAGCAACGTTTGTGGGAAATAATAATAATAGCCGCTTTCTATACTTTTGAGGCATAAGCATGTAGAAAATAACACTTACTACCCAGGAACAAAAATCGTGTTACATAGTGTAATGTAGGCATTGTCCTTTAAATATATTGGCTTGCATGTTGAACTTCTTTCGCACCGTACGTAGCCAACCGTGCTAATCGGTTAATGCAGGCCTGATGCTTTGAAATCGATGTCTATTTGGTGTTTGACCCTCCTGTATTTATGCCTATGATTTGCAGTTATAATTGACATTGTTGCTCTTAATCGCTTTCTGTGCTTTGATGTCCATCCAATTCCGACCCTTCGACGCTGTAGTTCTTTCCATTGCCACGTGCTACGGCTGACTGCTACAGCCGAGGAACAACAACAACAACGTCTGCAAGCGTTTAAACATTAAAATGTTACCATGATATCCCGAAGATTCTCCCTCTCCCTGGGGGGGAAAAAAAGTAAACCTCAAATGAATGCGTCCAGCAGTCGATTATTAGCTTCATAGCTGGAAAAACAAAAGGCTCTCCTTAATGCCATTAAAATCTTGTCTGGCCGTGCCATGAGCCGCTCGAGTGGCAGCCTCGACAACGGTACACACGTTGGACTTCTTGGGCACCGTACGTAGCCAACCGTGATAATTGGTTTGTTGTGGTTTTTTTGTTTGTTACCTCCACGATCAAGTCCTCGCTTAGTGCGCGGTGTTCGCGCAAACTCGCTTATCGCTATGACACTGTTGCTGCTATTGGTGGGAACGCTTTTTTGCACAACAGCGGAAGGCGCTTCGTTATAACGCGGGATGCGCGCCGTTATAACCCGAAAGGCGCATCGCTTTCACGTGGGATGCACGCCGTTATAACACGGAAGGCGCTTCGCTATCACGTGGGATGCACGCCGTTATAACACTGAAGGCGCATCGCTATCACGTGGGATGCACGCCCTTGTAACACTGAAGGCGCTTCTTTATAATGCGGGATGCTCGCCGTTATAACACGGAAGGTGCATCGCTATCTCGTGGGATGCACGCCCTTGTAACACTGAAGGCACATCGCTATCACGTGGGATGTACGCCGTTATAACACGGAAGGTGCATCGCTATCACGTGGGATGACCGCTGTTGTAACACGGAAGGCGCTTCGTTATAATGCGGGATGCTCGCCGTTATAACATGGGATGCGTGCCATTATAACGCGGGAAGCACGCCATCAAAGGGCGGAATGCACGCTGTTAGCACGCGGCTTCTGAATGGTCGGCGACGGAACGGCTTTTCACGAGCTGCGCGGCTGAGCGTAACGATGCGAGTACACGGAGCGATTCGGCACGCGGCGACGTACCCCCGTCTCGGCTCGCATGTCCCGCCACGGGAAATGCCTGCGCGGTGAAATATTTTAGCGGGCAACGTGAATCAGCGACTCGGTCGTTTTCACGCCGAACGCGGCACCCTTCAGGAAGGCCGCGTCCAACGAGCGCGTTGAATGCGAAAGTTGAGGCGGCGCGCGGTCCAAGGGAAAAAGAGGGCGAGGGAGGCGAAGGAAATCCCGGCTGGGGAACCTTCAAGCGGTGGACTGGAGCAACGACGCTACCCGGAGCCGCCACTCGACGGGGCACAGAGGCCGCGCGCGGTTCGCGATTCCATGCCGAAGGGCATCGGCATGGAATCGCTCACGGAAATGGCAGCAGTACCGTTGCAGTAGTTCGTGGCCATCCATTGAGTACGTACGCATGGAGGAGGGGAGGGTGGGGTTAACCCAAATGCGAACGCTTTGCGTATGGAGGGGGGGGTCTACTGACAATGTACGTACGCATTGGAATCGGGGGGGGGGGGTGGGGGGGGGGTGAAGCCTCGATAATAATAATGCAGCCGGCGGTGGACTATCTGTTTGCTGAAACACGTTAGTATTATTATTCCTTCATCGTTTCTGCGTGGATTAAATATCGGCCGTTCTATAGGATTCGGCGGGGGGGGGGGGGGGGGGTTTAAAAGCGTACGTACGCAGGTGGGGGGGGGGGGGGGTTAAAAAGTACACGTGCGTACAGGGAGGGTTAAAGTTTTAACAGTTTTTTTTGCGTTCCTACTAAATGGATGGCCCCTTCGTAGCCATGGATTCAAAGTTCTTCGACTGCAATTCACGTCAACGTAAGCCTGCCTCGAGTCTCGTCTGATCGCTGGCGACGTTACAGTCCGCGGCGCTTGTAAACGCACGTGCCGCCAGTTACAACTGACGTCGTCAATTGACCGGTGACATCACGTGACCGGTGACATCACGTGACCGGTGACATCACGACTGAATTGCCGTGCCGTTGATGGACTCCGCGCTAATCGTGGCAGCAGCAGCAGACGCGAATATTTGATGATGACGATCATGATGATGATCATGATGATGACTATGCAGAAATAGAGAGAAAAATAACAACCATCCGAGGCGTGTGCGGAGACTGTGGTCATTCGCCCAGAACAGAACCGTGGGGACAGAGAGCGACTTAACGCTCGATTTTCAAACACGAATCAAGAGGAGGAGGAGGCATAATCATCAACAGCACCGACGATTCACCACCATCCGCTACTCCTCACGCAATCATCACAGGAGCGATGAAGCGTCACTCCGCAACAAGCCTCCGGCTCAACTAGCTCGATGCAAAATGACGGCTGTTTTGCTTTACGTCGGTATGAGCCGTGAGAAGTAGACTTTTACTCCGGGAAACATGTTGCAAAGCGGTCGTTTCTCTAATGGGGAAAACATGATTTTAATCTACTCGTAGATTGACCTGCTCTCGGGTTAATTTCGCAGGCATTGCCAGGAAATGAAACGCGAGGCACGTCCCATCTCGTAGATCCAGGGGTGGGGAACGTCCGACCCGCGGGCCGTATGAGGCCCCGCGACATCATTTGGTCTCTGGCCCTGCCAAGGCAACCGCAGGCGGGACTCGAAATTAAATAAATCTAGGAGCAAACCTGGAAAAGCAGTTGCGAGGAGCAACAACATCATCAATACCAGCTGACATCATCACACGCCTCACCAAAGAGAAGCAGTTCCAGCCATCGCATTAGGGGCGAGTTAATTAAATGTTCGACCAAATATATTACGGGCTAATTTTTAAGTTGATAATTTTGTATGGCCCGCGAATGATGTTATAAAAATATCCAAATGGCCCTTGGCAGAAAAAAGGTTCCCCACCCCTGCCATATAGGATCACACAGCTTGGGCAATATTGGTGCCGGTCCTGGCTGGCTTCCTCGCCTGTGCGTGGTGTCCCGCGCATCTGATTCATTCTCTCATATCTCTGTCTCTTTCTGAATCATTCTCTCTCTCTGATTCATTATTTACTCTCTCTCAAAATCATTCTCTAATCTGTTTCTGAATCATTCTCTCTTTCTCTGAATCATTATCGACTCTGTCTCTCTGAATCATTATCTCATCTCTCTCTGAATCATTCTCTCATCTCTCTCTGAATAATTTCTCTCTCTCTCTCTCTCTGTGAAAAAAGGGTCCCCCCACCCCTGTCGTAGATGTTCACCGCGAGCTATGAATGCTCCTCCAATGCGTGTGGCATTGTCTTTGTGCTGTTCGCCTTTTGGCCTTCTCTGGCCTGACACTGGTGAGGCTGGGCCACGAAAGCTGTCTCTGGTGTCGGCCAATCAGTTTCAAAGACAATGCATTTATTATATCAGGGCATGTTTTGTTTGCATGTTCAACACAAGTACTAAATGTGGTTAATGCAGACATGATTCCTTGCAAAAAGGCATCTATTTAGTGTTTGAACATCTTAACGCCTGCTGTTTTATTTTGATTTAAAGCTTTCGTGACTGCAGGGATTCAAATTCTTGTTTATTTTCGGTAAAGTCACGTAGAAGGGAAACAATAAAATAATAAAAATATAAAACAATAATATTATCACGACGTTTCGACTACAACACAAGCAATCACCATCAGGTGTGAAACCCACAGCAAGAAAAAAAAATCTTGCTGTGGTTATATTATATTTTCATTATTTTATTGTTTCCATTCTACGTTGCATTACCGAAAAAACCAAGAATATGAATACCTGCTGTTTTGTTTCCAGAAAGGGTAAAAACCTATTATCATTATCATTTTTCATACGAGGTATATATTTATTGGGTGAATTCTAAGCAACGAGTATCACCAATATGTTGTCGAACGGACGGTACTACGAGCATCTTGGCCCTTGCGTCGTATGATACATCATGGGTGCCGCGGTGCTGAGATGTTAACTGCCTCGCCTGGTATACAGGAGGTCGTGGGTTCGATCCGGACCCTGACGCCTGCTGTATATTTGGAGTTTACGTGTCTCTCTCTCATCATCATCACGGTGGCTAGGAGATGTTAACTACCTCGCCACGTCTACAGGAGGTCGTCGGTTCGATCCGGACCTTGACGCCTTCTGTATATTTGGAGTTTGCGTGTTTCTCTCTCTCTCTCTCTCATCATCACGGTGGCTAGGAGATGTTAACTACCTCGCCTGGTATACAGGAGGTCGTGGGTTCGATCCCGACCCTGACGCCTGCTGTAAATTTGGAGTTTGCGTGTCTCTCCTCGTGGTCGCGTGGATTTGTCTCCAGGTCATTGGGTTTTTCGCCTCCACATTTAAAAACACGCGTTTAGAGTCTTTGGCTGCTACAAATTTCCACGTGATGATGATAAGCCCACTTCGTTAAGCTTAGCATTTGTCATGGGCAGGTCGCGTCTGAAAAAGCGCTATATAGCTCAGTGGGCCTTACCTAGTAAGAATAAAAGGATAATGTTTATTTTATATGTTAACAATACTATGATTTCGTAGCTATTTCTACGGACGTTTATTCTTCAAGAGACATCGGCCCAACGAGACGCATGCAAAGTCCACTACAAACCTGCAGATATCTCGGGGTGATGGAGGCGGCCCGTAATAGCGAGCACAAAGACAAAGATCCCCCGTATAGCCTTAGCAGACTGTTGGGGCAAGTGCTGTTAGCAAGCACCTTTGACGGCGGGGCACGGCACACGAGGGGGTGGGTGGCCAGCACCACGCCCGACCGCCTTTGTCTCTCAAGTGGCGATGTTTGTACGCACCGCACCAGGTACTCATTTGAGGCTGAGTCGACCTAGGGGAGGCCCAAGACCGGTTCAGATAATCGTCACGTGGTGTTGGCCGTTAGCGGGAATCGAACTCGGGTCGCTGCGGTCGTCCCCTATAGCGAGCGCACATACGCACACACACGCACACGCGCGCACACGCACGCGCACACACGCACACACACACGCGCGCACACACGCACATACGCACACACGCGCACACGCGCACATGCACACACACGCGCACACAAGCGCACACACGCGCGCACACGCGCGCACACGCGCACACGCGGACACACGCACACACACACACGCGCACACACGCACATACGCGCACACACACACACACGCGCACACGCGCACACACGCGCGCACACGCAAACACGCACACACGCGCGCACACGCAAACACGCACACACGCACACACACGCACACACACGCACACACACGCGCACACACGCGCACACACACGCACACACACACACGCACACGCGCGCACACACACGCACACACACGCGCACACACGCGCGTCTTGCTTATGATGTTGGCCGTGAGCGGGAATCGAACCTGGCGACCCGGGTTCGATTACCGCTCGCGGCCAACACCAGTGACGATTTTCTGAACCTGTCCTGGGCCTCCCCTAGGTCGACTATGCCTCAAATGAGTACCTGGTGCGGTGCGTACAAACATCGCCACTTGGGAGACAAAGACGGCCGGGCGTGGTGCTGGCCACCCACCCCCTCGCGTGCCGTTCTGGCCTTCATCGATGATCTTTAACGGCACCTGCCCCAACAGTCTGTTTAGGCTATACGGGGGATGTTTGTCTTTTTTTGTATATGAAGACGTTACTGGCCTGACTGTCGGCCCATTGAATTTGAAGTTACTGTTGCGAGTTTTTTTCGTGTTGTTGTTAAGGCAAAGGCGCAGCCCTGCAATTGCTTTGCTTACGCCACTGCTCGTGGGCAAGGGCAGCTTCCGCTATCGAGAGTTCGTCCAGAATCTGAATATCTATGTACCCCGGAGGAATCCTATGAACTAGTAGTGACCACCCCCCCTCTCCCCTCTCCCAATTCATTTACTCCCTAACATTTTTTTAGTTTGTTTACATTTGCAAATTCATTTTAGTTTTAAATAAACCTCACGTCCAAAAAATATATTACGTTTTAGATAATTAAATGGGTGTGGGGATCGGGGTCACGTGACATCTGCACCACCCCTGGTAGATTCAGGGTCTTGAGAGCATCCACAATTTTAATATGCAGCGGTCCCCAACCTTTTTGGCACCAGGGACCGATTTTGTGGAAGACATTTTTTTCACGGACCGGGGGGGCGGGGGGGGGTTCATCATTGGGTCTTTCCCCCTTTTCAAAGAAGCTCTCTGGCGACGTTTGTTTTTTTACTAATTGTGGCTACTAGG